GTAGGCAATCAAATTTCCTATTCTCCAGATGAATTGGACTACAAATACCATTGCTCTTAGCCTGAAATAATTCATTAGCTAGTTATATTACTCAACTATATATCTAACATATCTGAAAAATATATACTGGTGCAGGCTGTTGGGTAAAGTATTAAAAGAAACATTCTGGTTTTTTTGTTACTGCAATGTCAAAATGCTTTCTTTCAGATTTCACTTCATTAGGAATTATAGAATGGCAGTGGCTGATGTCGATTCTTTTAAAATTGTGAACTTCAGAATAACTCCTAAACATGATATACCAGAGTTGGTTAACATGCAGGCATCATCCAGATATTGAACTTCATCTCCATTGACTGAAGCCAGCATGGCCAATGGTGAAGGATGATAGAGATCTTGTCCAACACTACCAGCCACACTGAACTCAGTCAGTGACCTCTTAGAAAAAATTCACAACCCTGCAACAACAAGCCACTAGGCAATCTTGCAATGTCCAAAGTAGCAGGGATAATGTACTGAATTAAGTATGAAGATTAAATAAAAAATGGGTTTTGAGGCATGTTTCTATTTGACTGCCTAAGTTTATATCTGATCAGTTGCTAATAATTGTGTGTGTTTCACCTAATTAATTAGCTAATTAATTACAAAATTAGAAAATACTGCTATATAAGTACAGAATTAATTTATGGCATTCACAGCAACAGAATCTTAGATGACTTTTTTGAGCATGACTTCAGGGCTGCTTTCTGAACAGGAGCACAAGTATCCAATCTGGGTCTATCAAACATTCCTTAGGAAGGAAATGGCAAACTAACTGGGTGCTCCTCATGAATGAAGGTAAATATACATGTTCTAGGATAATGTTGTGGGACCCAATCTGGGTTGGTCACTAGGACCAGAGGTTTAGTCTTCTGAGCTTTCAGATGCATGGTGGAGCCTATCCTCAAGCAACTTCTTCCTCACCAGAATGTGTGTCTCTCACATTTTGGTGAGAGAAAAACTCTCTGAGGATGGGCTCCAGCACAAATCAGAAAGCTCAGAAGACTAAACCTCTGGCGCTGGTGACCAACCCAGATTGGGTCCCGCAACATTATCTTGGAACATGTGTATTTGCCTTCTTTCATGAGGAGCACACAGCTGGTTTGCCACTGCCTTCCTAAGGAATGTTTGACAGACTTCCCAATCAAGCCTAAATACTAATCAAGTCCAACTCTGCTTAGCTATTCTTGAGTTCATCCACGATTACTGTAGTTAGAGGCTGGTGCATGACCTGGTGAGAACTTTAAAAGGTTAAATATCATTATGGACAATGTTTTTCTAAAAAAAAATTGATTATATTGAGGCTATGCACTTGAATCATGTTGTCACCAGTGTACTGTGTTCATCAATCTCCAAGCCCCAAATTTCTTTGAAATAGCCATTGACAGTTTAATAAGTAGAAAAGATTCAAATCTCTCTAGTCTTTCCAAATATCCTCCCTCAAGCTACATTGCAAAAAACAAAAACAAAAATAAAAAACATAGTATAGTATTACAAAACTAAAATAATTATATTTTTGTAAATAATTCTTCTATATTGAACAAATGAGATCTACAGGTCTTTGTTGTACCAAAGGACAATAATCTTACTGGAGAGAGAGAGATGCACAAGTTCCAGAGATATTGAGGAAGTCCTAAGACAGCGATCCCTAATCTTTTGGTGTCTACTGGGGAATCTGGTCATTGAAGAAATGGCTGCCATGGGGAACATTACTGGTTACAAACATAAATTTATTAGATTATTAACTGTAATCTTAGAGTTTCCCCCCCTACTTTATCCTAATGTTGCTTTTGCTATTTTTTCAGGCTACTGATCATACTTACAAATGTTAAGCTATGGCCACGGTTCTTTTAAAACATTAAATTCCAAAAATGCTCATGGAACTAATTTGGGGGCTTAGAGGCATTTTTGAAAATCATAATGCTGGAAACTAGTCAATTTGTTTTAAAATCAGATGGCGAGCCTGATGAGAATTGGCCATAGGTATGTGGGATGCCGCCCTGGGTACTTAAGATTCCAGTCCTAAGGCAACAGCCCAATTCATGGCAACCAGTCCAAACCAGAATGCCATTTCTGAGAAAAATGTCCTGGCAGCCTTTCTTCAAACCTAAATTAATGAGGTAGAACCAACAATATTCTGCAGTCCCACTGTTGCTGCTTTAGGGCAAGCACAGGTCAAGAATGTAAGGCCGCAATCATTCAAAAAGAAAGGCTATTGTAAAATAGAATGGTGAAAAACAATAGAAAGCTTTTCCTGTAAGCCTTGTTTCAAAACATTAGGTTTAGCCCCCTGACTCAGGGCTTGATTCGAGAATAGTCTCATGGTAATTGCTGCCAAACATGCTTAGCCTAGAAAGTAACTATTGAAAGAAAAGTAATGAAAATGGTGGGTCTCTCTTATTTTTCAGCATTCCAAATTATTTGTTTCTATAGTTTTCCCACCCCTTGAAATGAAACTAAAAGTCGCTATGGATTGGGACTTTGATATGTATACAATGTTGAAGGCAAGGGGGCTTCATGCAGAGAACTGAAATGAGACACAGATGACTCATTTACACATTTATTTACTGTTCTGCTTATTCTGGCAGACGGAAATGGTGAACAATGCCATTTATTTTACAGACATTTGACAGAAAATAAACAAGTATCTTGATGCCGAACAACTGTACAATACAGCTACAACATGCATATTTATATGCTGATTTGTGCACAAATATTTACTTGATCAGCAAATGTAACAGAATTCAGAAGAAAGAAAAAGAAAGAAAAGAAACAAAGGAAGGAAGGAAGGAAGGAAGGAAGGAAGGAAGGAAGGAAGGGAAAATTTCAAAACATCACGTTTCCTTTTCATGATGTTAAAATGCAGCTGAGATGGAAACATTCATACAAACACATTGATAATGAATACTATTATATGTGAAATTCTTTTAATGGTTTACAACAGAAAAAGGCAAGGGGTAAGCTGGTACTTCTATACAAAATGATGAAACTGTCATTCCTAATAAATAATGCAAGCAAGTACTCTTGCAAAGTGTTCTATATGAGTATTATTTTCAGCCCAGCAGCTGTCCTTAAAAGATGAATAATATGCTCAGCAAAACGAGCAAAATTTTCCATTTTAAAATATGGGGCATTTTGTAAAGGCAGTAGAATGACTGCCTTGTGTATGTCTTTATCTCCCACTGAAAATACATTTCTTAGTTGTTGTTTTTTAAAAAATGAGGCTAACTTGTTACAGTAGTTTAGCAATTCACAATAAAATGCTGCCATTCCTTGAAACTGAATAGTAAAGACATATTGTGGCAAAAGAAGTCATCATCCTCATCCTCATCCTCATCATCATCCTCATCAAATACTGTTGTGCTTTTCCCCCTTTTCAGCATTTAAGAAGAAAACAATATTAAATTCAAATAAATGGAATTCCTGCTACTCGTAGATAAGAAACAAATATCAGTTATAACATAAAACCTATAAACACGAGACAGTATTTCATCATTTAATATTAGTGTACAGTTATCTCAATGTAACAAGCAATATTTTTTTCAGGAAACCTATCCCTAAGTATTTAATCATCAGCACAACCATTACTGACTTGTATATCATATCTGTGGCTGAGCTTTGCATATTTTGCTGAAAATATAAAGAAGTGTAAGTCCCAATCTCTCTTCTATATCCAGGGACTTGGGATGCAATTTTTTTAGTGCTTGGACCAGGCGAATAAAAAAACAACTGTAAGCTTTTTTCCCCATAGGTTTGAGCAAAAGATATTTTCCATCACATAGGTCAGTGTTTCCCAAACTTGACAATTTTAAGGCATGAGGACTTCAACTCCCAGAATTCCACAGCCAGCGTTGCTGGCTGTGGAATTCTGGGAGTTGAAGTCCTCATGCCTTAAAATTGTCAAGTTTGGGAAACACTGACATAGGTTATGCAGGTTTGGCAGTTTTTCACCTATCTGCAACAGATCCTTCCTAAGAATAATCAGTTCTGAGGGTAAGAGTAGTGGTTTTTGAGCAGCATTTATGTCTGGCAGCGCATTTTGTAAAGAAAATTTTGTCCTACCCTATATTCAAGAACTGTTAAATCCAACCCAAGGGATTTCCTTATGTGTGGATGGAGAGGAACTGCATAATCCACAGTTATTTTACTATTTTCTAATATGTGATAAGCAATAAATAAGCTGGGGAACCTGAGCAATCCAGTACTACGGCTCTCAACAACCCAAACCCACATGGCCTGGTGAGAGCTGCTGGGGATTGTAGTCAGCAACATTTGAAGGACCACTGATTTCTATTTTGCACAACTACAATTGTTACTGAGATAGGAGTTAGGCTGACAATTTGAGAAGTCTGTTAATACAATAGGGGAATGTGAAGTGGGGGGAAATTGCTTTCACCCTTTTTTTATAGTAGAAGGAAAATATTTTAAGACCAGATTGTAAATATTTTTACTATAGATAATTTTCATTTTTTCTTCCTTGAAAATTTGCAGAGAAGTGGACATATCTATCTATTTACACCTTAAACATAATAAATATGATACTTTTGTTTGTTCTTTCTTTTGCCCGTTGACTTCAGCTGAACCTGGCTAGAAGAATGAATCTGAGTGGACTACTGTAATTAATTGACATTTTTAAAAGGTGGTTTCAATTATAACTGATATGTAAGAGGATTGGAATGAAAATTTTTAATATTGCTCTTTGTTACAATAATTAACAAGCAAATATATAAAAAAGTAATTTTTAAAAAATATGTTATGCATACTCACAAGAATTCTATTTTTCTTTCTCCTTTTTTCATACTGGGTTTGGCTCAGCAATTTCCACAAGATATTTAGTGGATCAAATATTTTACAGAATTATAGCATAATTTTAAAAAACAGGTATCCGTCTATCATAGCTGAGTACTACAATCACTTCCTATGATAAATGTTCTATACTTTAAAATGAAGAAAACATTCCATTCTTTTTTTTCACCTTAATGTGGCTTGCTTTTGAAATAATAATGACAAATGAACTTTGGTGAATTAAGACATTTGCTACACACGTGATTGACTGATTATCTGACACACATATCCAAATCAATCAAAAGTTTTCTATGTGAGTATGTTGAAAGTTTTCCATTTTAGACAATAGGGACAATGTATGTCAGCCATATATATTTTTTCCTAGTGGCTTGAGTGCCATTCTGTATTATCAGGCCAAATGGTTTTTTTTCCCCCTGAGATGGGGAATCTGGCCATTTTTAGCAACTCTAGCCATTTTGGTCACAAATGAGTCATTGAGAATTTAAATTCAGCAGACAGGAAAGTCATAGATCCTGTATTTCTGCCTTAGAATCAGCCACTGTTTTAATGAGGTGCTACTTCTAACACTTGTTTTAGAATAAGAGCACGTGATATTTAGTAGCAGTATCTCTACAAAATGAAAGAAACGTCTTTTATTTTACCACTATTATAAGAACAATTAATAAATCTTCAAATTTCTTTCTAAGCAGGTGATCAGCTTTCAGTAGCAGCAGTTGAATTACTTTGCAAACATATTTGAAATAAGATTTTAAAAAACTATATTTTCAGTAGCAGAGGGTTTTGAAACTATAGTTGAACAGACAAGGTATGGGAAACAGATTACAAGATTTCAATGCATCTAATAAAACACACCAATTTCTTTTTCTTCTTCTATTAGATAGCAACTTAAAATGTCCATGTCCTGTGATATGCCATCAGGACTATAAAGACATCATTCAATCCGAGAAGTGTAAATTTTCACTTTTGGACTTTAGATCTTTAATTCAGAAGTTATGGTAGTCCCCAAGAGTTTTCTTTGAATAGACATTATGAGGGAAATCATGATTTCATTGAAATTACTGGCAAACTGCTGTTATCTAAGGCTAACAATTCATTTAGCCTTTATTTTTGACTGTTACACAACTATCTGGATAAAGGCAAAAACTGTATGCGGGATATAAATAAACAAATAAACTGGAATAATATAACAACATCTCTAAAAAAGTATTAGCTAGCATTTGCTCTCCATTAACAGAATATTTAACTGTGAAAGAAGATAAATAAAGGAACTTTATGGAACAAAATATAAGTAATTGAACCAGAGCACGTGGATTGTTATACAATTAAGTGAAATCTTATGCAAAAATAAAATTAATTTGATTTTCATGAAAAACTAATAAATACTTTGAGACTTAATGACTAGATATTGGCTGCTTTAGAAATGACATTTAGCCCCAGTATTTAAATTAATAAAATATGGATCTGAAGACATGTAATTTAATAGAAAAAGGAAGTCTTAAGAGAAACTTTAAAAACCCATTCTCCTGTGCTTAATATTTGGTCCAAAGAGCGAAATAAAAAAATTAGGTGGTATTGTATTTAGGAGAAGTAAAATTTATGAGCTGTACAGTACGTTTTCTCTACTAGAAGCTGTTTTGGTGCACATAACAAAATAAAAATGTGTTTTAAAAAAGTTGAGGGGAAAAGTTGAGCTTTGTTTAGCTATACAAAAGATCAGCCATAGATGTTTTTCCTCAGTGCTTAATGTGCTTTAAAAATCTTACTTTAACTGGAAAAAAGGGACATGAGTTGGCACTTTGCAAAGCCATGCGTGGGCCTTTATGATCATGCATTTTTCAAAAATAACAAAGGCTTTGGACTGGTCAATGTCAGAAAATAACATTGGTGGAGGGCTGCAATCCTAAATTTTGTTTGAAAATGTGTCATTTGCCTATAGTCGTTAGAGAAAATTAATAAAGCTAAACTACAATTCTACAGAGATCTACTGAGCCACAGAAGATATCTTCTCATTTGCATCATGTGATTTATCATATTATTTGTTAGATTTATATCCTTTTATTTCTCTGAGAGTTACATAGGAATTTGTCTTTAATTCCTCCCATAAAAAGAACACTGTACAGCTGTAAGACGGACTTTTTAAGAGAAAATGGATGACCTAAGTGAGCTTCACTAGCTGACTGTAGATTTGAACTTGTTTCCCCTCAATATCTTCTATTTCCCTATATGAATTCCGACAAGTTCCTAAAATTCCAAATGTGCTCCTTGGCCCTAGAGAATAAGTGTAACTGAGAAATATGTAAAGTTATTTAAAAAAAGTAATACAGTTAAAATGCTGTTTAAAGCTTCTACTGAATTTTGTGATTTTAAAATAACTAATGTATTAAATCTTTATTAGCAGAATTAGTTATAGAAAAAGAAAGAAAAAGATTGACTAGAGTGCTTGTGATGGGAGAGATACCATGAAGATAAGAAATGGAGATTTCAAATTATTCCATTTTCTGCATGTTAATTGCTCTAATTACATGGAAATGGCAATAATTATGAGTGAACCCATCTGTATTCAGCATTCCTTGTGAAAAATTGAAGCATTCAGACATTTTGCTGAATAAGCACAATTACAAGTTTTACACACTTTTAAGCCCCGTGCCACAGTTTACAGACCACTGTGGCCACAGCATATTCTAAGCTAAACACAGTCTGCTTTACTTCTTTGCACAGTGTGTGAACCTCAATAATTTCCTCAGAAAGATACATTTTCTACTTCGTATATGTGACAATTCTTTTGGTTGATTCATGGAATGATATTGATACAGCATTCTGAAACCAAATAGTAACTAAATTGGGGTGAAAAATGATGTGCAAATGACACACTACTGTTAAAGAAAACAGCAGATATACAATAACAAGAAATGTACAAATAGTAAGATTTTAATAACAGTGCATACAGTAATCACCACTGTATTACAACATTATTAAAGTCTTAAAATAAAATAATCAGTTTTCATGTCATTTGGCACATTTTATTACCATAAAAATAATTTTATTTCTTGTAATGGTTTCTTGTTTGCTTTCAGTTTGGCAGGTATAACAAAAGTTCAATTCCTGGTCATTAAATCTTGCCTAGTCTTAAGAATTTTTTTTTCAAGAAGCTGCAAGTACATCCATGACACCTATGCAAATAAAAGTAATTGAAGCTATGGTTCATTTCACAAAGAAATGAGAAAACACTGCAATTTTCTTAAACAAACAGTGTACATTGGATTAAAAAGAAAACAAGATAAGTAAGATGCTCTAAGGATAAGCTGCAATTCTGCAACGTAAGTCTATACAAATCCTCCAGGCAGTGGACTTGAAGGATGTATCTGAGTCCCAAGAAACCTGTTTTTTTTGTTTTTTGTTTACAAATCCTTGAAAACTGGAGATGTTCCAGCAAATCCAAATTATTTACAAAATGTGCATTTTGCAGACTCAAAGCACCTTATTTCACACTATTAACATATGAATCAACATTTCATCCTTTCATGTGCAAATTCTGAAAGTCAAAAGGAAAAATAAAAGTTAATTAAAATTCATTATCTACAACCATAAATGAAAATATTAACAGTGTTAAGCATTGCAAAAGATCATCTCTGAAAAGAGCATTTTATTTTACTCAGTTCTTTTGTTGAATTTTTCCTGATTTATCTTTTGTTAGAAAAAAAAGTTTGCTTTTAAATTAAGGTGTACTTAAACTAAGCAACTCTTCATGCCATGCAAAAATAATATTTATTTACTTTTGAGGCTTCCCTTTTTTAATTCATAGGCATTGCTAATTTTAGTTTCAAGAAATAAGTTTTTGTCTTTATTGCTCTCCTAATTAGTCACATACTGGTTTCTCTGGTTGGACAGTAACCAGGATCACTAGGATTTGTATGGATTTCTGGGGAAAACAAATGGTTTTCCATTTTGTGACCTTCTTGATTATTGTCCCCTGTTACTTCCCCTCCAACATGATAAATATCTTGAGTGCAGTTATGACCCAAATGTTTGGGTGAAGAAGAACTGACTTCAGAGTCTTCTGTTACATAGTCCCCATCCTTAAGTTTATTCCCAAAGCAGTTTGCCTTGATATCCAACTGCCTGTTGTGCCTTATGCCAGGGATTTCCAAGAAGTCAGCTTCTTCACCAGTGTCTATTTCAGTGAAACTTCTCTCCTTGGGAGGGAAAGAAAAATGTTTCTGCTTGGGGAATAAAGGGCATGCTTGCTTAGAAGCTCCAAAGGAATCTGCATCCAGCAAAGGTCTTTCTCCCTGCGGTGAATTTTCTTCTAAGAGGATAGTGCTGATATGCTGAGGGGTAGATTGTAGGAAGTCTCCTGTTGCCAACACTGGCAATGGCCTTGTTGTGCTTGGTGGGGTTTGTGGAGCACCACCTCTGTTTTCCTTAAAATTAACCTTAAGGGACCTTGATTTTAAAGGGTTGCTTCCTCTGAAAGAACTTTTGGGACTGTCCATGGCATTGTCAAAGTGAAAGTGACCATGAAGGAGAGGATGAGGATGAGGAGAGCTCTCAGAACTCATCATTGTATTGATTGAGGAGTAATCAAAGCAGGTATCCCTGGGAGCTAACATTTTATCTTTCATGAATGGTAAAAGCTGGGAATCTTTTGCTGTTTGGTCTTCTAAGTGGGAAAACTCAGTGGGAAATCTTAGTTGCAAATGAGAACTGGAATATGGAGGAAAAGGTGACTGTTCTGTCTCTGTGAAATCAGTTGCGCAGCTGGCAAAGCTGTCAATGCTAGAAGTGCTTCTCATATCAGGGATGACTTCTTTGGGTCCTGTTATAGATGCATGTCCTTGTCCAGTAACCTCTTCCATTTCTATCTCCTCCTCATAGAGGGGAGGTTTCACTGAAGGGCCTTGGTAGGTAGAATTCAGATTAGGCTGAGACTGAGTTTTAGTAATTTCATTATATAATATTTCAAGTTTCTGAGCATTCAAGTGTTGAGGACTGGAGGCTGCTGCTGCATTGTTTAGCTGTTTATATGAATCTTGCTGGCTCACTTCCTGGTATTTGTTCTTCAAGGATTTATTAGAACCTGTCTCTGACAGTGGGCTTCTGGCCCATTTCCAATGGCTTGGAGACAAATGGTTGTCATCAGGAGTTTCCTTTGAATTGGCTGCTTCCTCAGTTTTATCAGTATCAACAGCTACATCAATCAACTCCATACTACGAGCAAAGGCATCTTTTAAATTCATTGAAATAATGCTTCCATTTCTTTTTGCTCGTTCAAGAGCCTCCCTTCTTTTAATGGCTTTCTCTTGCCGCTTTTGCTCCTTGTAGAATTCTGAGAAATTGTTTACTATGATGGGAATGGGTAGGGCTATTACCAGCACTCCAGCAATGCAACATAACCCACCAACTATTTTACCTAGTAAAGTTTTGGGATAAATGTCACCATAACCTACTGTGGTCATAGTGATGGTAGCCCACCAGAATGATGCAGGAATACTTGTAAACTTTGTAGCATCTTCATCTTTTTCAGCAAAAAACACGAGACTAGAAAATATCATAATTCCCATAGCTAAAAATAGTATCAATAAACCCAATTCATTATAACTCCTTCGTAAGGTAAATCCTAAAGATTGAAGTCCAGTTGAATGTCTAGCAAGTTTAAGGATCCGCAGTATCCTCATGATACGGAATATCTGAACTACACGGCGGACATTTTGAAACTGCAGCACACTTTTGTTGGACTCTGTGAGAAAGATGGTGACATAATAGGGCAAAATGGCAAGCAAATCAATCACGTTTAATGGACCTTTGAAGAACTTCCACTTGTTTGGAGATGACAGAAAACGCAAAAGGTACTCCATAGTGAACCATGCTATACACACTGCTTCAACATGTGCTAGCTGAGGATTGTCATTTTGTTGTCCAAATTCATCAATTACTTGAAGCTCAGGTAGAGTGTTGAGTGACAAAGCAATGGTGGATAGTACAATGAACAATATGGATACAATGGCCAAAATCTGTTGAAAAAAAGATAAATAAGAAAACTGTGGTTAACAAATCACAAAGAATGCTTACATTTCAACCAAAGAAGCAGCACACTAACAGAATTACAGACCACTGTTCTTTACTCACTGCAATTAGATATGCTTCCCTATTGTCAGTACCCCTAACTAATTCATCTAAAGTGCTAGTCCACAATAATAGTTCTCTTGAAAACTTAACTTATGTGACAATGCTATACTAAATAATTCCAAAGGTCTACATATTTGGGAATAGAATCCAGTAATACAACTCAAATTATTTCAGAAGCTTAATTAGATTATTTAGTTCAGCATATTTTTCAATCAGCTGCTTTCTAAATATAGTACATTAGACCACAATTCCCAGTTCTTAGCCAGATAAGATATTTTTTCCTATTGTTATCCTAAATTAAGTGCCCAGTAAAGGTTTGAGGTAACAAAAAAGCAAATGGAATTTGTTTCTGTAAAATGCATACTGGACACATCTTTAATTACAAACATACTAATTAAAACTTCATCTTTCAATGTCAAAAGCAAGTAGAGAGTCAGTTTTGGGGAAGCCTGGAATCTGGTTTTGTGTACTTGGCTACATTGGCCAGAGTGGAAGTATAAGATGTCAAAGAACATCACTTTGATGAAGGCTGGTTATGATCCACTCTGAATTATGAATCATTCTAATATAATCTCAGTTGATATATAAAAATATGTCCTTTTCAAATAAAAAAGTGGCCCAAATCAAAATTAACAAAATAATTATTATTTTAGTGAGACTGGCTTTTTTAGGAATTGCCATCTAAATGTCATAGGCTGCATTCCTAATTTTAATAATTTTAACAATATGAAAATTAATCACAAATCTGTAAGATGTAAAGTTCAGTATTAATGCTGAAAAGAAAAACACAGATATTTGACTGAGCTGTCCATAACTGTAGTGCTGAATATTCCCCGCGGATTTAATGTTAGTTCTTAGTGGTACTTAACAATTTAGCAATTGCTGTATATTATTTTATTAAGTTATGTTTTTAAGAACGTCATTAAAAACAACATCAGCAGACTTGTTTAAGTAAGAAGATGAGATTTATGAATGAGTTGTCTCCAGGCAAAATATAAAAATAGACTCAGATGAATGCAATATATATAGATTGCAACATTATGTTACTTAATAGCATAATAATGGAATATTAACAGGTTGGGGTCTTTTGCATTTTTTTACTTTAACTTTTAATAAAATTGTATTAAATTAGACTATTATTTATTTATTTTAGGTGAACCTATTCCATCCACATTATTGTTGTATGTTCTAGGGAACTGCCACTGTCTCTCAGCCCAATGAAGGGGAGGACAAACTATGTATGCCACTTTGATCTCCTCTACAAAATGTGAATATATTTCTAATCAATAAACATATAAATAAATAATAATTATAGAACCCTTTAAAACAGATTAATTCCCAGATAAAAATTTCAAGGTACTTAACCATCATCATAGTTTAGTAAGTACTGAAGTTTTTGCAGATCTGAGAAGACACTGCAACTTAATAGAATGAAACAAATAAACACACACACATGCACACACACACACACACACACAAACACACATACAGAGGGATGACTTTATGGAAACTTAGAGGTAATTATTGTAAATAACTTATTGAGTATGGTGCAAAATAGCCATATTCTGGAGAATAATTATTGTATGGTCAAACATCTGTACCAACATATTTTTTTTAAAAAAATACGTTAAAAACTAAAAATCTATTGCATCCAACCTACCTTTCAAGTATTATTAATTGGCCCTTATTTTTTACCACTTGAATCAGAGAATCTGTATGCTTCTAGTTTTACGTTTCCAGTGTAATTTAAGGCATCATAAATCAAAGTTCTTTTTAAATCTCTAACTATTGTACATTTGACAAAAGCATAATAATATCACATGGACACAAAAGTGGAACTTCTCCCATAACAATAGTTATCATTATCTGTCAGCAGATTTTCTTGTTCAACAACATATTGAATATATGATGGCTTTAAACTATCATTATTTTTCAGATTCACCTTGGCTGATTCCTTAGTTGCCTGGCAATACTAAGGCTGATTTCAAAGCTTCATTCCACTGTAAAAAGCCTCAGTTCTATGCACACATACAGAAGAATGAAGACAATATGATGCATTCAAAGGTAGGATTGAATAGACCACACACACACACACACACACACACACACACACACACACACAATACACACACAGTGGAAAACCTTTACAAAACCATGAATAATTAGTTTCTAAAATGATTGGTTATGAGCCATAGAAAAGAACAATTGTGGGAAAAATCTTGTTGCATGCAATGAAGCTCTTCTTGTGTTTTAAGTCTGGAATACAAAAATGCTTGATTGTACCGTATGAAAACTACTCAATTACACATAGAAAACCAATATGTTAGAACTAGTATTGCCATTTTCATGTTGCACTTTTTGAAAATAATGGAATCGTCTTCCAGTATTATTTGTTACCATACAAAAATGATCACACACAAAAATTCTTAGTGGAATTCTCATGAATTACTTTCAAGGAGGTTTTTCCCATTTTAACCAGAAGATGTCTCTGCTATACCATCCTGGTATTCATGACATCAGTTGTCCTTTGGAAAAATTGCAATTACAATAATGCATCTTTTTCTCTCTCTCTTCTTCCCAAGAAAAAGCAAATCACAAGCTTCCTAGCTGCTACCATAAATAAAATATGAAATCTGAGCACCAAGAACTTGGAAATTCTATAGATGTATATGCCAATGATGTTGTTTTAGTGCACTCTCTTTTGTTTAGTACCAGCCTTTATATCAATACTTATATCCTTGTCTTTCCTCAAAGGATTCTTTGTTGAACTTTGTGCCAGAATCCCACATTTCTAATAATTTCAAAAAACTTTATTTCAGAAACATCTCTTGCTGTCTCCCACTCCCTGTAAATCTAAATATTCTGTGACTAATTGCAGATGACACTAAACTGGCAGGAATAGCCAACACCTCAGAAAACAAGCTCAGAATTCAAAAAGATCTTGACATACTTGAACAATGGGCCCTATTGGATAACATAAAATTTAATGTGGCGAAAAGTAAGGTTTTATATGTAGGCAGGAAAAACCAAAGATTTGAGTACAGATTAGGCGAAACCTGGCTCAAAAAGAGTAACTCTGAGAGGGACCTTGGAGTCCTAGTGGACAATCATTTAAACATGAGCCAGCAGTGTGCGGCAGCAGCAAGAAAAAGCTAATACAATCCTTGGTTGTATAAACAGAGGCATAGAATCAAAATCACATGAAATATTGGAACCGCTTTATAAAGCCTTAGTAAGGCCAGACCTGGAATACTGCATCCAGTTTTGATTACCACATTACAAAAAAGATGTTGAGACTTTTGGAAAAGTGCAAAGAAGAGCAATTAAGATAATCAAGGGTTTGGAGACAAAAACATATGAAGAACAGTTGCAAGAATTTGGTATGGCCAGTCTAGAGAAAAGAAGGACTAGGGGTGACATGATAGCAGTATTTCAATATATGAGGGGCTGCCACAAAGAATTGGGGGGGGGGGTCAACTTATTTTCCAAAGCACCAAAGGGAAGACAAAAACAATGGATGGAAACTAATCAAGAACAGAAGCAACCTGGAATTAAGGAGAAACTTCCTAACAGTGAGGACAATTAACCAGTGGATCAGCTTGTCTTCAGAAGTTGTGAGTGTTTTAGAGAAAAGACTGGACAGCCAGCTACCTGATATGGTATAGGGTCTCCTGCTTGACCAGGGGGTTTGTCTAGAAGACCTCCAAGGTTCCTTGGTTATTCTGATTGAAGTGACGACATAAGAAAATGTAATATGAACGATGTACACTACAACCTCATGTTTGAAAATAACATGTTTTAGCCTTAACTTAAAGGACCAAGCTGCTATTTTTGGGTTTGGCGGAAGATACTGCTGGGGGAGGATATAATATCTGAAATGATTCTAAAATCACCATATGTATTAAATTTCCCCAACTTTGCTTCCAGGTATGTTAGAAGCTCTCATAACTTTTTACTAGTATACATAACCCATGGAACAGTGGTTGATTATTGGAAGGAGTAAAAACAAAATGCAAAGCATGATGAAATAAATGAATATTTTCCAATAAACCATTGCTAGGTTGAAAGTACATTGGGATACAGATGGTACAGTACTTGTACAGTGAGCCTCATTTGTGACCCTGATGGTGAAGTGTTTAGAGTGCAGTATTGATGGGCTCAAGGTTGACTCAGCCTTCCATCCTTCCAAGGTTGGTAAAAAGAGGACCCAGATAGTTGGGGGTAATATACTGATATTGTAAATTGTTCAGAGAGTGCTGTGGAGCACTATGGGGTGTTATATAAGTGAAAGTGCTATTGCTATTATTCCCAAACAGTCTAAAACTCCCTAAATAATTTCCATATTCACTAACTCCCTTCCAGTACAGTCAAATTATCTCACCCTTTTGCTGTGTCTTTTTGTCACCCTTTCACTTCTATTCATTTCTTTTAATATCTGTTCATCTCTATTATCTTGGGGGGGGGGAATAAGCCTCAGGACATCTGGGGAAGGCATGATGAATCCAGGGAAATATCTCTGTGAAAGAGGAGCTGATAGCAATGGCAAAGAATGAAGTAACATTGAATAGACTAGCTCTTTGAAACCTCTTCATATAAAGAGAGGATGAGACATCATCCTCATGTACTCCAGACAGTTTCTTCTTGTGGGTTTGAGCGTGGGAAACAAAAGGATTAGCCATTTTGCTCATAACTGTGGCAGAGCCTTTTAAAGGAGACTTTCTGTTGCTATCCTGATTCCCAGCAAAATTCCTCCCTCCCTCCCTACCTTCCAGTTATTGGCTGACATCTCTGCATCATTATTATAATAGACTCTTTGCATATGACTTTGATTCTTCTACCCTTATAACCATAAAATATAATAATGAATTGTGACTGCAGTCACTAAAGACTCACTTGATTTTGTGTTGTTGAG